AAAAAAAAAAAAAAAATTTCAACATGATTTTCTTGGAAAACATAAAACTATGCCTATTTCTGATTACAAACATATTTTTAATGAGAACAAGACAATATTTATCATAAAATTGTCATAAAATATATTAAATTATTTAAAATAGAAATTCAAATATCTGAGCAAGACATGATTAGTCACAAAAAATTTTCAGCAGAGGCAGCAGAAACAACAACTGTTTAAACTACTTGGATTTTAGGTTTATCACTGCAGCATAATCTGGTTTACTACAAAAAAAAAAAACAAAACCAACAACCTGACATTAAATGATAATTATGCCCCCTTCCGTCAATTAATTCCAACTCATAGTGACCCTATAAGATAAGCTGGAATTACTCTACAGGAACAGGTTATCTGTCTTTCTCAGGAAGGGTGACTGGTGGTTAGAATTACCAGCCTTTTAGTTATCCCAGAGCTTACCCCATTGATCCAACCTGATTCCTAATATTAGCTATAAAACCAAAAACACAAACTCACCTAGATCAAGTCTATTCCTACTCATAGAGACCCTGTGAGTTTTGGAGCCTATAATGCTTTACAAGAGTAGAAGCCCTGACTCTCTCTGACAGAGAAGTTAGTGGTCTGAATTACCGACCCTGTGGTTACCAGCCCAATGAGTGACCACTATGCTATAAGGGCTCCTAAGGATATCAATAAACATCTATGTGTTATAGTAGGCAGGGGAAGCAGAGGCAATAACAAAAGCAAGCATATCAGAGTATGAAAAAATATAAAAAGAAAGATATTGAGAATGCTAGTCAATGTAGCTACTCACTATAGAGTGTTAGGAGAGTTTTCTTTTGAAATATTTATTACATATTGACAGATTAAATACATAACCAGAAGAACTGAGAGCAGAAAGGCAGGCAAACTTGGAAGCAATGCTCAGAAAATCAAAATTTGAGAGATTTTAATGTTGTTACTGCTGTTGCTATTACAAAATGCCTCTGGGCTACTATTATTTGCAGAGTATTTTACTACTAGCACATGTGACATAATTCTTGAATAAAAATATTGGGAAGGCATGTTTTCATCTGATTATATAAATGCATTGCACTCGGTTTCCTGAGCTATTTGAATCACTCAATGTCTGATCTGCATAATTTCCTCCCCCAAATTATGCAGGAATATAATTAGGTTGTGGTATGCATTAAGAGGGCTGAAACACTTTCCTCATTGACGTTTCTTCATATAGGACAGATGTTTTGACAACTACACTTATTATCTCCTCTGTGTATTCCTTTTTTGTCCTTTCCCATGCTAACATCTATTGACAGCCACTGATCAGTCAGCAAATATATCCTCTGGAAAGTCACGTCTAGCAGTAAACCTCCTAAATCTACAGGCAAAAGAAAATTCCTCCCTTGAATAGCTGAATGATTAATTAAACATTAGCAAGTATGTTTTTCTGGTTTTTATTTAAACTAAAAGCACACTAATTTACTCTACACTGTCCTGGCAATAGAGCAAAGAAGGACCACTTCGAATTAATACTCAAGACCATTGTTTACTTCTTGCCTGATGGCTGGACAATAGCCTTTGGATTTTTATTATCAGTAGTAGAATTTATTAAATATGGGTACAGTTTTATTGAAGTAAGCCTTTCAAAGAAAGTTTTATAGGATCGGGCATTTAAGAGATAGGACATTAAATCAGTCAATGTCAATTAAGTTAATAGTAAAAAGGTGTTACTTGAAAAGGAAAAATTAAAAGCCTTGGTTGAGGAAAAGAAAGTAACACATAGTCCATAGAGTACTAAGAGGGAAAGAAAGGTTACCTCTGCAGTTTATGTCTAGGGAAGATAAATTTGAATTTCTTAAAATAAATGTGAGTTTAAAATAAATAAATAAATAAATGTGAGTTTTAAAATAATATATAACTCTTGAATTTCTACCTATATTTGTGACAAGTCAAAACAATTAATGTATGGTTTGAAGGAAAAGATGATGACTCACATGAGCAATACAGGAGTGTATGAAAGTTATACTCATTCTTTGCATAAAGTTATCCTCTTCAGAGTCACGCAGCAACACACAATGATACAGAATGCAAGAAGATCACAAGCTGGTCAGTGCTAAGTCATGAGGATCCAATCACAGTGGAAACATCACAGGGCTCTGATTGGTCAGCAGGAAGGTTAATTCAGAAAGAGAAGAGGAGGTTCTCAGAGCCCTCCTTATGAGAAGGTCTCACAAACACAAGAAGGCACCATCAGTCTGTGACCTGATTGATAGATTTGTCTGTTACATTTTAATATCCTTCAACAATCCCATAATTCAAATGCATCAATTCTCTGGTGTCCTTTATTCATTTTCCAACTTTCTTTTGTGTATTAGGTGATTGAACATACTGTTCCTCGAGGCAAGTGCACATTAATCCTTAAATTGACATCCAAGCTCTTCAACTCTAAAAAATCTTCTACAACAGATTTGCCCAGTCAAATATGTCATGTAATTTCTTGACTGCTGGTTCCATAAGGATTTATTTTGAGTCAACGCAAAATGAAATATTTGGCAACTTCAGTCTTCTATCCATTTATCATTATGTCATCTATCAGTCCAATTGTGAGGAGTTTGGCTTTCTTTACTTTGAGTTAAAATCCATGTTGAAGGTTACAGTCCTTTATATTCATCAGCATGTTCAAGTCTTCTTCACTTTTATCAAGCAAGGTGTCACCTTCATATAATGTTTTTGTCATTGCTGTTAGGTGCCATCATGTTGGTCCAAGCCATAGCGACCCTCTGCATCTGGTCCTGTGCCATCCTCAAACCTGCTTGATCTCATTGTTGCAGCCAGTGTGTCAATCCATCTAATTGAAGGCTCAACTCTCTTTCTCAGTCCCTCCATTTACCCAAACATATAATGGGCTGTTAATAACTCTTTCTCCAATCCTGATGCCCTATTTTTCTTCACATAGTCCAAGATTTTGGAACATTTGCTCACAACACAAATTGACCAAGTATGGTGAAAGTATGCAGCCCTGACATAAACATTTTCTGACTTTCAAAAATTAAAAAAAACTCGATAGCCGGGCACCATCAGCGTCTGGGGACTTAAAGGCTCGAAAGTAAACAAGCGGCCATCTAGCCCAGAAGCAACAAAGCCCACATGGAAGCAGCACACCAACATGTGTGATCATGAAGGGCCAAAGGGACCAGCCTTTAAACACCAAAGGCAGGGAGAAAAGTCATATCCTTGTCAATGAGGGTGGTGCGCGATGGAGACCCAATGTCCATCTCCAGACAACTGGACATACCTTGCAGAGGGGTAGTGGGGAGATGAGTCACTTAGGGTACAGTATAGCAACAATGAAGCTCACAATCTTCCTCTAGTTCTTAAACGCTTCCTCCCCCCAACTAGCAGGACCCCAGTTTCGCCTTGCAGACCTGGTTAGACCAGATGATGCATAGCGGTACAGAGGGGAATTGGAAGCGCAGGGAATGTAGGACGGAAGAAACTCTCAGGACCGGGGGTGAAGGGGGCGATATCAGGAGGGAAAGGGGAGGTAGTAAGGGGGAATGGATCACAGGGAGCCACATATGGCCTCCTCTCTGGGGGACGGGCAGCAGCGGGGTGGGTGAAGGGAGGCGCCGGACAGTGTAATATAAGATACAATAATAATTTATAAATTATTAAGGGTGCATGGGGGAAAGGGAAGGGGAGGGGGGGGAAATTTAAAAAAAAAAGGAAAATGAGCGGATTCCGGGAACCCAAGAGGCAAGAAAATTTTGGGAATGATGAGGGCAACAAATGTATAGATGTGCCTTACACAATTGATCTATGTATTGTGACGAATTGTATGAGCCCCAATAAATTGATTAAAAAAAAAAAATTAAAAAAAACTCACTGCTATTGAGTCCATGCCATCTCATACAACCCTATAGAACAGGGTAGAACTGTCCCTGTGTTTTTCCAAGACTGTAACTTTGCAGGATTAGAAAGTCCTGTTATCTCTCACAGAGCAGTGGATCTTGTGATTACTTACAATGATCGTGGTTCCAAGTAGAATGATACACTGGAAAACTCATTTTTTTTCTCCATTTATCATGTTGCTATTTATTGGTCAATTTTTATTTTCTTTTGTGAGAATTTTTGTTTTCTTTGCTGTGATAGTAATTTTTTCTAACATCTAATCTTTGCTCTTTGTCAGTAAGTCTTCAATTTTCTTGGACTTCAGCAAATAAACTTGTGTCCTCTACATATTTAAGGTGTTAATGAACCTTTCTCCAATCTTGATGCTTCATTTTACATATGTTCCATATTCTTGATTATCTGCTCAACATACCGATTGAATCAGTATAGTGAAAAGACACAGCTCTTAATCAAACCTTTCCTTGTTTTAAATCATGCAATGTCTCCTTTTTCTGTTTAAAGACTGCCCTTTGTTCTATATACCAGTACTGTATGAGCACAATTAACTCTTCTGGAATTCTCATTCTTTTTAATGTTATCCATAATTTATTATTATCCACAAAATTGAATACCTTTGTATAGGCAATAAAACTCAAGTACATATCTTTTTGGTATTCTCAGTCAAGATCTACCTGATTTCAACAATATTTTCAGAGGCTAAAATTTGGGAACATCACTGAAACCTGATTACCATGTATGACTTGCTTTTCTTTCTGTTTTTTCAATTAACCAGCATAGCATAGTTTCCAGCATCAAAGCAAGAAATGTCATCACAGTATAACAAA